TTTACGAATGTATACCATGGCATGCCCTGACATTCAATTAGTTTACTAAATAATGTACTTATGTGTTCATTTTCTTTCCCTACAAAGCTACTTTTATTTCAATATTCCCATTATTTTTTCTCTTATTTTCACTTTTTTCTCCACCCAGTATACAATTTGTGTCCTTTCTTCTCCATTCCCAAATAAATGTTTTTTAAGATATATGATATGGGCACTTTGGGAGACACTTTTATACAGTATTTTTGTTATGAAAATGTTTCTACCATGAAACTGAAGTGATTTAAGTTAAAAAGGTTTTTTAATGGATCTGTGAGTGAATCTTGAAAAGATTGAACTCTATAATCAGGAAGAGAGTGAATTACAAATGAAAGTATTTTGCTAATTGAGATGCTTTGTGTGAACTGTTGTATAATTAAGATTTTTAGAGTTCTGTAACTGTGTTGTCCCAATATGTGTTAAATCTATTCAGAAGATGGCCGATCCTTGGCAGGAATGCATGGATTATGCAGTCACCCTAGCAAGACAAGCTGGAGAGGTATGAACTGAAGTCTTGGCCACAACTGATGGTTGTGGTCACTGTGTGGTTATCTTGTTTAAAGAAATCATATTTTGATTAAAAATGCATTTTCATTTTACTGAATCTTTAAATGGAGTGATTTAAAGAGTTTATGGTTGCTGCTGGCAACATGGCTGCTGACTTCCCTCAGATTAACCAATTTCATGTCATTAAACTTCTTGTGATGACAGGTGTTAATCTAAAATAGCATATGCGTTTGTGTCAAGAACTTCATAACTTCTTAAGGCTTATTTTGTAAACATTGTGATAAGAAGTTTTTAAGAATATCATTAAGACAGAGTTAATGTTCTAGACCATTTCTGTACTTCATCTTTAAGTTTGATTTAAAATTACGTACTTTTTTTTCTATTTGCTTACCAAAAATATTTTTAGGTGGTTCGTGAAGCTCTAAAAAATGAAATGAATGTTATGATTAAAAGTTCTCCAGCTGATTTGGTAACTGCTACTGACCAAAAAGTTGAAAAAATGCTTATCTCTTCCATAAAGAAAAAGTATCCATCTCACAGGTATTTTTTATTTCAATTTCACCTGAAACCTAGGTTGGAGTCAATATACCAGACAGAAAGTTTAATTGTAGATACAGTAGAAATTGACTTTAGTTAACTTATGCTGAAAATAAATTTACTTAGGAAGTATTTGCTGGAACCGTAAGAGCCAGCCTCAGGCAGGAACCTGGGAGGAAAGGCAGAGCTAGACATTGGAACCAGTGGCTTCCAGTACCACTCGTTGACTCAATTCTTGACTTCATTGGCTTTGGATATATTTACCTCATTAGCTTACAAATCCTGGGCAGAAATATCTGTTTGTTGAACTCAGATTGTTTGCCCAAGCTGAAGCTGTCAGGGAGCAGCAAACAAGAATTATTTGTCTTTTTATTTTTATAGTAAGAAAAGTGTTTGAATGCTTGGAAGCCAACATTACAAATGTTTGCCATAGGCATGATTTAGAAATTTAATATCCTTCTCTATATTGCACACTTATTATTGTGAGGAAATGGTGGAAATTGTAAGGAGTTTGAGAGGAGCTACTAAAATTGGGGTGTTATTACAGAAACAGAAATACAGTAGAAGTAATGTCATCGTTTTAAAATTTTAGCACTGTCATTCTCTATTTCCTGGTCATACCAGTGACTATTCTGGTGTTTTAGCCATTGAGGAGGAAAAAAATTTATAGCTGTGAATAAATATGCTTCTCCTAAGAAAGCTAAGAGAAAAAGAGATAAAAGGTCCTGATAATGATTATTAGGGCAATTTGCTACTGAATAAAGGAAAAAAATAAAAAAGGTAGGAATGGAAAGAAAAAAATCAACTCAGATTTACAGAATTTACAGAATTCATGTATTTTTTTTTTTCAGAAGTCGTGTATTTATTACAAAGTATGTTTTAGGGAGACGTGCAGACAGTAATTTTGGTGGGTGACTTGCTTTCTTAATGATATGTTATCTATTGCTGCTGAGCAAATTACCATAAAAATTTAGCAACTTTAAATAACAAATATTTTATTGTCTCAAAGTTTGCTAGGGTCAGGATTATGGGAGTATTTTAGTTGCATGGTTCTGGCTCAGATCTTATGAAATTATAGTCAAGCTGGCAGTCAGGCCTCAGTTATCACTAGGTTCAACTGGAGCTGAAGAGTCTATTCATTTATGGATTGTTGGTGATTTGAGTTCCTCTGGGAGCATCTTTAGGAAGCTTCCCTCAGTCCCTAGCCATGCAGACCTCTCCACAGAGCTGCTGGCAACATGGCTGCTGACTTCCCTCAGATTAACAGAGGGAAGGAAAAGAGCGAATAAGATAGAAACCACAGAACCATTTTGTGAATAGTCCCCAAAAGTTAGATATTATTTCTACCATATTCGTTAGGTTGGCTAGAAATGAGTCACTAATTTCAGACTCACACTCAAGGCAGGAATCTGCCTCTTAAAAAGAGGAGTATGGCAGAATTTTTGGAGTTACAAATCCTATCTGCAATAAATGCCCTTTATAGAAGGTGTGTGTGTGTGTGTGTGTGTGTGTGTATGGGTGTACCTTGGTAATGTCTTCTAGAATTTTGAATTCTGGTATTTTTCACATGACTTTGTGCTATAGGAAATAAAACTTTCTCACTTTTATCAATACAAAGGAAAAAGGAACAGTAGAAATGTGTGGGGTACAAATTATTGTTATGTTTTAAAGTAGACTCTAGCTAAGGAAATGCTAAGGTTTGAAAATTATTGGAAGCACTGTAAAGAGTTCATCATTCTTGCTTTTAGTTTCATCGGTGAGGAATCGGTGGCAGCTGGGGAAAAAAGTCTCTTAACTGACAACCCCACATGGATCATTGACCCTATTGATGGGACAACTAACTTTGTACACAGGTATGTTTTAAAATTTTTAATGTGGTGAATACTGGTTATATATTGACTAATGGGGCCTTATAGTACACTGTTCAGGAATTGTTGGAGACATAAAAATGAAAGCAAGCAACATTGCTACTTTGAGAACAATTAAGGAACTAATGGGCCGATAGTGGAATGTTGTCTAATTATAATGAATTTGGTGTTCAGGAGATAAAACTGAGAAAAAGCCTGGGTTTCAGCATCAGTAGATTTGGGTTTGAATAGAGGTGCTTTTTTATAGGCTTTGTGAGCCTGGGCAAGTTCATCTTTCTAAGCATCAATTTGTTTTGACCTATAAAATGGCCATGTTAATAGTCCTGCCTATAGAATTGCTTGTTGGGACTCAATGAGTAATACATTTATATAAGAAGTTCATACAGGTATGACTGGCACAAAGTACATTTATATCTGAGTTTATTACCACTGAAAGAAAGCCTGATGGAATTGGCAATGAGAGTTAAAATGAGTAATCTAATCTGATTTGATGGGACTACACATAGATGTTATATTTGAAGTTGCATGTAGCTGTAAATATGTTTACTGATAAAGAAATGTTAAAATCTATAAAGCTAATATCTAGAATCTTTATGTGATAGATTGTTAACATGAAAAGATGCTCATGACATACTGTAACAGAAAATTACATTGCAGCATGTATAGTGTAATACCAGTTTTGTTAAAATGAAAACAATATTAAATATTGTAAATAGTTTTACTTTTCAGTAGTTATGTTGAACCCATTTTGCCTATTTTCCTCATTTTTCTTATCTCCTGCATCTGAAATTATAATCTATGTGGTTAAACTGCCCTGTAGCCATAGTAATAATTGGCTAACAGTTTATTTTCCAGTTGTGAAGTTCTAAGTTTGATGTTAGAGTTGACAAGAACCTTTTCTTTTTATTTTTTTAAAGATTTATTTATTTATTTATACAAGCACTGGGTACAGTCAGAAGCGTGGGAGGGTGAGAGAATTCACCAGAGCCAGAGCAGGGAGCAGAGCAGGCAGAAGGACCGAAGTACACTGCTGAGGGGAGCAGCGGGCGGCAGGAGAGGTCTGCGCGCCATGTGGGACCCTCCTCCGGTGGCCGGGGAGCAGCCAGAGATCGAACTGGCGCTGCAGAGGCTGCGGGCAGCTTTGCAACCCAGCGCTCAACCGCTGCGCCACCAGGGAGGCCCCAAACCTTTTTATTCTATACAATTCAATACCTGTCTTTGCCACCAGTCCAGGCTGTGGGAGAAATTACCAAAGAAAAGTCTTTTTAACCATGACCAATTGAATATTTTTGTAATAATTCTTATTGTTTGGGAAAAAAAAATTAACATTACTATATCCGTGGCTTTCGACATTCAAAAGATATAAAATGGCATGCAGTATAAAGTCCTGAGACCCTATTTTCAAAGGGGTGGGATTTCCCCACACAAATAAACAATACCAGATAGCAGATGGATGAATAATAAACAATACCAGATAGCAGATGGATGCCTAATTCTGTCACTGTCTTCCTGGAGATAGCATCAGATGCTACAGGTTGAGGGCTCTGTCCTATAAGAACCCCCTCTTATTCTCCTCCCCACCCCCAAGCTTATTTGAGATGCTGGTCACAAGGCAAGGTTGTCACTGTGCTTATGATCTGCCTATAAATCAGAGGTTCTCACAGTCCCTTCTTTGAGTTAGATAAGTTCCTAGAGTGGCTCACAGAACCCAAGAACATCTTACTTACTGCATTACTAGTTTACTGTAAAATGACAATAACCTTGGAACAACCAGATGGAAAATATGCAAAGGGCAAAGAGCTCTGTCCCAGCATACTGCTTTCCTCTAATCTCCATGTGTTGGTTAACCTGAAAACTCTTTGGAGCTCTATCCTTTAGGGTTTTTATGGAGGCTTTGTTACATTGATTGATTCTACCTCCAACCTCTACCCCCTCCCAGATAGGGTGTGTGGGGGTGTGGAGGTGCGAGATACAGTGGTACTGAAAGTACCAACCCTCTAAATCATTTGGTTGGTTCCTCTAGCAACCAGCCCTCCTCAGAAGCTTTCAAGAAGACACCTATTAACATAACAAAAGATCCTTTTATAGCTCTCCTCACTTAGAACCTCATTGTCGGAAAGAAGGATAGAGACCAAATACATATATTGGTTATAAATCACAATATCACAGTGACCTTTTGACTTTTCTCCCCTACTTTCTCAGGATTCATCTGTGGAGGTGACCATTATCAGTTTCTTTTGGTTCCTTTCAGAGTTGTATTATGCGAAGGGGAACAAAATAGGCCTCCCTCAAATGTGACAATTTGGCATGAGGATTGTTTTGAATTGAAGGTAATCAAGACCCAGCAGATTCAAGAAAAGATTGTACCTCTGCCTAAAAGAATTTAATTAGAGAGCCTGACCCAGAGACCAATGACCAGAGATAATTTTTTTATTTGCGTAAACTATACAGCAGGTCAACATCTAATACCAAACACCCCATCTTCTTGTCATCCTATGAAGTAACCTCCTTTCTTCCCTGAGAAACCCTAGGATCTAGCCCATTTCTTAACTCAAGATGGCATAGAAGCTTCAGTTGCCCAGCTGGCCCTTTTTGCCTCCATGTGGTATATATGATTAAGTTTAGTTTTAAAGATTTATTTATTTATTTATACAAGCACTGGGTACAGTCAAAAGTGCGGGAGGGTGAGATAATTCACCAGCGCCAGAGTGGAGAACAGAACAGGGAGACTGACAAAGTACACTGCAGAGAGGAGCAGCGGGCGGCAGGAGAGGTCTGCGCGCCATGTGGGACCCTCGCCTGGCAGCCGGGGATGGAACTGGCGCTGCAGAGGCTACAGGCAGCTTTGCAGCCCAGCGCTCAACCACTGCGCCACCAGGGAGGCCCCGGTGCTCTCTTGTTAATCTGTCTTGTGTCAACTTAATTTTTGGAACAAAGAACCTAAAAAGGAAAGGGGGAACAATTTTCTCTTGTACATATACCTGTAGAGTCATCCCGAGTGTGTATATAGTCTCCATTCTCCTCCCTTGTTCCCCTCCCTAATGTCCTGAGGGTTGCATGCTATACACATTGTTCTGGTAGATGAGAGATGAGACTATATGAAAAAATTTATAGACTATTATCTTATGAAATAGCATGTTTATTTAAGTTCTATCTTGGTAAATTTGTGTTTTTTTTTTTTTAAGATTTCCTTTTGTAGCTGTTTCGATTGGCTTTGTTGTAAATAAAAAGGTATGTTTAAATTTATGGTTGCTAAAATGTCTTGTGCTCATTTTCTGGAAAAGAATAAATGTGTCTCAAGCCATAGACCTGTTAAAATTATGATAATTTTTCCAGTGAAGATAATTTTGTTTTCTGAAAAGAATTATAAAGAAAAAAAACATACGAGTAACTAAAAAAGAATTCAGTACTTATCGTTATATATGTGTGATAGAGCCCTATGTGATAAGAATTGCTATGTGATAGGAATTGCTATGTGATAGGAATTCCTATGTGATAGGAATTGCTGTGTGATCTAAAATTCGTCATAAAAAAGGATTTGTGTCAGAAATGCTTAAATAGGTGTCAGTGCAGGGATATATTGAAAGACCAGGAAGAGTTGGGAATCAAAACAAAACTGGAAAAATGCAGAGTATATGTAAGAACCCAAATACTTGCTCTATCTAAAACCTAGTAATAAAATCTGTGACTATTGCTTGTCTTTGCCATTTGACTACTTGATTATCAAACAGTGAATGCTGTTTGCTAGTATATTACATATCTTCAAGGAACTTGTGATGTATTTGAGCGTCATATACTCAGAGGTAACAAATCTCTGAAAATAAAAACACAATTTAGTTTAAATTAAATCTTAGTCTCTGGAATACGTTAATCAGTGGGAACAACCAAAATAAATAAGTGAGCTTTACCATATAATCAGCCCTGGGCTATGTCTCCTGTTCTGCCTTTCAACTCCCAATTTAGTGCAAGTTAGGTGTGGTAATGGATAAATGTATTGTGTGGTGGAACTATGAAAAAAATACCAGGGAAACTACAAGAGATTATATATAACCAATTCTGCCAACAGTGGTTTGGGAAACTCTTAACAGAAAGGGTGTATCTTAGAATCTTAGAAACTGAAGGGTCTGCCAGAGAAAGAGGAAGAGGAAAGCACTTTAATCAGTAAAAACAATTTGGAGAAGAGCATGATGTGTGTGGGGAGTGGTGAGGTGTTCTTGAATGAAACCCTGAGAGTGGCAATGCTTAGGTAGCCGGAAACCAGCCAGGTTTTTAAGTGCTGAGACCCATAACTCCAGCAATGTAGAGACTATACCAGAGGTGTGGGTGATGAAAATGCCAAAATCAGAAAGTGTTTTCAATATAAAATTTGAAGGAGGAGACTTACCTGGGGAAGGAATGAGTGATCAAGTATGAGTGATTTTCACCTGGCTAATTGAGGTTTTTAGAAGACTTAGTTCTTAGCTGTGATGATGGGGTTGATAACCACAATTGTGGTGACAGCTGAATTTGTGGATAAGAAAGAACCAGAATGTAAGGATGTAGAGAGAAATGGAATAGAAGAATGAAAAGAAAACCTTGAGATGCACACCTTTTAAGAATTAATCAGAGAAGGAGGAACTAAGAAAAAATGACTCCAAGATTGGAGAACCGAAAGAGTACTACTCTCAGAAACATGGAGGATTGAGTGTTGAAGAGTTACCAGTAATGGTCAACAGTCTGCAGAGAAGGCATTTGGTCAGTAAGAGTTCACTGATGATCTCTTTGCGGGGAGTTTCAGAAGAATGTTATGATCAAGGTAGAAGCCAAGTTGTAATGGAACAGGAGACTAGGATATGCAGAGTCTAGGTTACTCTGGCAGTGAAGGAAAAAGGAGATGACATTTTAAAGGTTTAGAATGAGAGGGAAACATTTAGTGAGGAGGTACCAGAATTGAAATTCAAGAGAAGCAGGATCAGTTGATGGAACAATTTTTCAGAGAAGAATGGGAGGGTTGGAATCATAACACAGGAAGGACTCACCTTAGAAAACAGGAGAGACAGGTTTTCATCTGTGGCAGAAGGGAGAGAGGTCCAGGTGGGTGCCCTTACACGGATGGGTCGTAGTTAAGGAGTCAGTCTGATGACTTCTTTCCACTGCTGAAGTGTAAATTAGCATATTAGTTACTCCACAGTTTAGTCACTTGAAAGTATCAGTCAGTAAACTGGATTTCCTTGTTACTATCTTAGAAAATGGATTGATTTAATCATGAGAAATATTCATGTTTGGTGAAAGAAATTTGTTTTCCTTCTGCAGATGGAATTTGGAGTTGTATACAGTTGTGTGGAGGATAAGATGTATACTGGTCGGAAAGGGAAAGGTGCCTTTTGCAATGGTCAAAAACTACAGGTTTCACAACAACAAGGTAAGTTCAGTCTCAATTTTAGGCTCAGTTGGTCTGACATAGTTGTATTTTATTGCTTTTGATTGTCAACCTATGGTGTTTTCCAGTTGCTGATTCATAAATTGTTTATTTTCTCTTCAGTTTTTAATTTCAACCTCAGTTTTGAATGTGTTAGTGGAAACAGGAAGCAAGTGTAATTGAGCAAACACTTCAGACTCAGTGACTGACTAGGTCTAGGGGGCAGGAAAATGATTAATGGTTCCCTGCCTTCTTGAAGTTCATGATTTATTGTATTGCTGCTGCTTCTCAGATTTTGTCAAATTCCTCTAATCTGATGCCACTGCTGCCAGTTATGAGACAGTAAAACTGTTAGGGGTTCATGCTCTAAAAGGGGATCTTGCCATCCACACACACACAAAGGCAAATGAAGGAAGCAGATGCTTGTGGAAGATTTTTAATAGAATTGGTGTGCAGAGAGAGGCAGAGAGATAGAGAAGAAAGGATTTCAAATAGTAGTTTCCCACTAAAAGCCTCCAAATCATTTATCCCCTTATGGGCAAATATCCAGCTACATGGGTATGGCCCGAAAGTGGGGTGACTAAGATCTGAAAACTAGCTACAAGTGTAAGACACCTTCTGGAGGGGGAACCATACAGCAGGTCCCAGAAAGCTAGGACAGAAGAAAACACCCAAAATTCCAGATATACCACATAATCTACCATGAAGAGGCGCTGCCATTGTCTGTGCCAGGCCCACGAACAGCCTATCCATATGTTTCTCATTCATGTATCTCTTCTCCAGATATCTCTTTCAGGTGTCTCTGCATGTCTTTCCTCCATGTGTCTTTTCATTCCTCCTTCAGTCCACTTCCATTTTTATATCCACCATCACTCTTTCCCGTCTGCTTCCATTTAGGAAATCCAGTTCATGACATACTGAGAGTTGTATTTCAATGCATTTGTGATCTCTGCCTGGAGATGGGGGTGGAGTTTGATCAGAACATCATTCACTGGCTTGGAGTTTGCTCCTCACTATTCCTCTGATACAAACACTTAATTTGAGAGCTGATTTTTAATTCACTTTTTTTTATTGACCTCTTACACTGTAAAGATCGGAAGGTTTGTCCTTGTTTTTTTAAAAAAGATTTATTTTTTATTTATACAATAGCCGGGGTACAGGCCAGAGGTGCGGGAGGGTGAGAGAATTCACCAGAAACAGAGTGGGGAGCAGAACAGGCAGACTGACTGAAATACCCTGCTGAGGGGAGCAGCGGGCGAGACAGGAGAGGTCTGCCACGCCATGTGGGAATCTCCCTGGCCAGCCGGAATCAAACCCACGCTGCAGAGGCTGCGGACAGCTTCACAGCACTGCGCTCAATCCGCTGCGCCACCGGGGAGGCCCTATCCTTGTTTTTGAGACGTTAACATGTGAAGGAAAAAATGCATCTTAGAATTGAAGGAATATAACTTCCATAGAAATAACTCTTCCCTTCTAATAATTGTTCACTTCACATGATATTTATTATATGATTATTAGAAGAAATACAGTGGTTCTGAATATGTTCAGAACAAACTGATAAGCACACATCTCCACTGATGGGAGAGGGTGAATTGTGGGGTACACTAGAGAGTACTTAACAAGCCAAGAGTATTGAGTATATCATAAGCTTCAGTTACCATATTTCAGAGGGAATGGAAAGCATTGGATAATCTGGCACATTAATAAATGTGGGTTTAATAGGAGAGCTGCCACTTAATTTTAACTTAGTTTTATTTTAAATATATATTTAATATCTAAATTCCACTTTTTTAATATGTAAGGTATTTGCTTGCTTCCTCCTAGAGATATGAGGCAATCAGGTAAATTGCTTATCATCTGTATTTTTAGGGAGATGAGCTAAGAAGATGCTTTTTTGGTTATATAAAAACGCTCAGGGATAATACATTTATTCATTTTAATATTTGAAATATTAAATGCAATGAGGATGAGGAATAAAAATGTTATTTTATTCTGAGTTACAACTGTCAATTTTATTAAACGCTAGTGATTACTTAAAATGTTTTCTTTTAGATATTACGAAATCACTCCTGGTGACAGAGTTCGGCTCTTCCAGAACACCAGAGACTATAAAAACTGTTCTTTCTAATATGGAAAAACTTCTTTGCATTCCCATTCATGGGTAAGCTATTTACATTTCTTCCCTACATGTCTAGATAATTGAACATTTTAGGCATTTTAAGGGATGAATTGTCCTTTAGAAATGAAGATTTTTTAAATAAATAGACATGGGACTGTTACCATAATACTAATTTTTTAATGTAATTTAAAAAAACTTTTATTTAAAAATAATTTCAAACTTAACAACCTGAGTTAATTTATTGTTAACATTTATCCTATTTATCATTCCCTCCCTCTCTTCCCTTCCTCCCTCCTCCTCCTTTCCCTCCCTCCCTCCAGTCTAGTGTCGGGCATTATATTTAGTTGTCATGTCTCTTTAACTTCCTTTAATCTGGAACATTTCCACAGCTTAAAAAATGACCCATTTCCTTTTCAAATTATTTCATAGAGGTATGCAAGGTAGACTCCTATAATGTATTTCCTTTTTCTCTCTATCAGTAGTTGTTCCCTACTTGTCACTTCTCATTTTGTACATTTGTGTTTTCTTCTTTTTACTTAAAATCTTGATTAAATTGCATAATAATTTGCTTTTTTTCCAGGATTTTGATAAATCAATCAGAGCCACTGTTCTCCTTTCTGTCTTATTTTCTTTCTTGTGCTTTCTTTCGGTTCATTTTGGTTTTCTTTTCTTGAGACAATTTATTTTTATTCTTTGGTTTTTATTGTTATAAGTATGTAATCTATGGATTTTTATCTGGTCATTGCTGTCAATGAATCCCATAAATTATGATAAGTAATATTTTTATTTTAATTACTTTTCAAAAATCTGTCATTTCTATTTGTGCTTCCTCTTTCTCTTAAATACTCCATGTTTCTTTAATAAAAGGGACATTCTCTAATATAACCATAACAGTTAAAAAATCAAATTAACATTGATGTATTACCTAATATAATAACTTTATTCAAATTTTGAATAAATTCTGATCCAAGATATACTAAAGTATAGGTCAATTATTTTGTATTGTGTGTCTTGATTTGTGTTTGTCTGTTTTTCTCATATTTAGATTTAGGTATGCATTTTTGTCAGGAATGCCATGAAATTATTGTGTTCTTCTCAGTGCCTGATAACAGGAGGCACATGAGACCCTCTTGGTTACATTAATTTTGAGCACTTGGCAGTGGTTGACCATTCCCCTCTGTTAATTATTATGTAATTTAAGGGGAGCCACTTTGACACTATGTAAATAGCAATCTTTTACCACTCCTTTTAGTATTTATTGATGATTCTTTGCTGAATTAGTTGTTTATATAATGGCTATCCAGTCCTTACCTATCAAAACTTCAGTTACCTTAGTCCATATATATTAGCTTATAGATCCAAAGAAGAGGTGCTTTGAGAAGGCAAACCTGAAATAATCTTCCTTGGAATGCATAGGTCTAAGTACAGCCCAGGGATGTTGTTACCCCTTTAGTCCCAGTACTGATATGCACACAACTTAAATGACGAATAGTTTTATTTCACCCCACTTCGAGACAACTTGTATTGTGGGGCTGTTGTCCCTGGGTTTAGACAAATAATATACATGCATAGTAGAAGATAGTAGAGGTGTAGCTTTTTTTTTAGTTTTTCCCCTCAAAATATTGTTTTGATATTTATCTTATTAAATGATTGCATTGTGAGGATCAGTTTTATCATTTATATAGTGCACCATGGTGATTAAATTTTATGTATTGTTATTTTAAAATTAATTATGCCCATTTTTCCACACTCATCCTCTAGATTGGCTCAAATTACTTCGTCAACATTTACAATAAACTGAAGTCAAGGAGGAAAACTTTCTCTGAAAAAACTGTTTTTTCCAATCTTAGTTTTAAATGTTTTTAGGATTCGAGGTGTTGGAACAGCAGCTATTAATATGTGCCTGGTGGCAACTGGAGCTGCAGATGCATATTATGAAATGGGAATTCACTGCTGGGATATGGCAGGAGCTGGCATTATTGTTACTGAAGCTGGTGGGGTACTAATGGATGTAACAGGTAAAATTATGAAACAGAAAATCTTTTTTTTTTTTTTTTACTCCACATTTCTCACTTTTTTCTTTAAATCTTTGATATATATATATATATATATGTTGTACTTCAACTCTTAAAGCATATAAGCCATGTAATTTTCTGTAAAATCAAAATTACTAATGGAAGATAGAGGTTAAAAGCTAGTGGTCATATGGGATTAAGAATGGTAAATAACTAAACTTCTTCAAATGTGTCAGGAATTCTTGAGAAACCCTAGAAAAAGTCTAGATCACCAAATCTGTACCAAGAGCTCTTTGAATAGTGACCCAGGGTAGTTCATGTATTTTTTCTACCATTACTTTCTGCCTTGGGCCTAGAGAGGTTAAATACTTGCTTTGAATAGATGGTGATTTTTTTTCTTTTTCATAAGAGAGTTCTAGTTATTTATTTATTTTTTTTTCAGTCTTATTTTTCCTATATGTGTACTTCTAGTGAGTGCTGGACCTGGGACGTAACAGTGAGGGAAATCAGACATGGGGGACTGTCATGTCCAGCATGCAGTAAATCTTTATTGTCTTAGTGCTTATTATATACTATTTTAATTGCAGCAGGTGTATTATCAAAGCATACCATATAATGACAACACATATGAATGATTAGTCTACTTTCTTACTATTATCTATCTACTTCAGACAGTAGGGTGCCAGGTGGTTACTTCTCATACACATAATCTTATCGCCCCCTAGCTAGAGCTTGGGAAGTTCGCTCATTATTTTTGTTATTCTAAGATTGTGGAGACGTAGGAGCCTGAGTCCACACAGGTCACATTCTGGTGGGCACTCAATACCAGGTCCTGTCACTCAGAGGTTTTCCTCCGAGATGCATGTGTTTTCACATGCCTTTGGGACTCAGGTTAAGGCCCTTCTGTGCACTGCACAGGGTCTCTCCCAACACCTATATATTATTTTTATTGATCTATTGCCATACAACATGTTGATACTTTTATGATACACTGCAATGCCATAATAACTAATAACTTCTATAAAATAAATATCATAGTACTGGGATTAATTAAAATCTAGTCTCTTAACAAGTTTATTGTTTATAATAGAGTTTTGTGGTCTATAATCTGTCCTGTGTATCAGGGCACCTGGCCTTTTTATCTGCTACTGGCAAGTATGTATCCTTAATGTAGTAGAACTTTGATGTCTGTAGTCTGTACTGTATATCAAGTCACCAGAATTTATCTGCTATTTGCAAGTATGTATCCATAAACATCTCTGTCATTCTTCCACCCCCAACCTCTGATTCTTTTTTTTTAAAATAAATTTTATTTTTATATTCCCCATACAATTGCAGTCCACTTATTTTGACCCCAATCCCTCCCCTCCCACCCCCCCCACCCCCACAGAGTGTCTCTGGTTCATAGTTTTTTGTTGATTTTGATTTTCACTTTCTTATAGTTATTCATTTTCCTGGTCCCTTATTTAAGTTTTCTAGATTCCTGCTATGAGTGAGACCATCCGGTATTTTTCTTTTTCTTTCTGGCTTATTTTGCTGAGCATGATCCCTTCCAGCGCCATCCATGTTGCTGCAGATTGCAAGTGTTTATCTTTTTTGAATGCTGAGTAATATTCCATGGTATATATGTACCACATCTTCTTGATCCAGTCATCTATTTTTGGGCATTTGGGCTGTTTCCAAAGCTTAGCTATTGTAAACAGTGCTGCTATAAACATAGGGGTGCAGGTGCTCTTTGGAATTGATGTTTCTGTGTCCTTTGGGTAAATACCTAGGAGTGGAATTGCTGGATCATATGGAAGTTCTGTGTTTAGTAGGTCCAGAAATCTCCACACAGCTCTCCATAGTCCAACCTCTGATTCTTTTTTTTTTTTTAGAGGCATGTTTTATTTATTTATTTATTTGTTTGTCTGCTTTGTCTATACATGCACTGGGCACAGTCAGCAGCGCGGGAGGGTGAGAGAATTCACCAGAGCCAGAGCGGGGAGCAGAGCAGGCAGAAGGACCAAAGTACACTGCTGAGGGGAGCAGCGGGCGGCAGGGGAGGTCTGCGCGCCATGTGGGACCCTCCTCCGGTGGCCGGGGAGCAGCCGGGGATCGAACCAGCGCCGCAGAGGCCGCGGGCAGCTTCGCAACCCAGCGCTCAACCGCTGCGCCACCGGGGAGGCCCCCAACCTCTGATTCTTAAAAGTAAAGGATAAATCTGGGTTTTAGGAATTCACTAGTGATGTGAGAAAAGCAACAAAATCAGGAAATGGAATGGAGATGGTATAAAATGTACTGGAGTCAAATTTCTTATCCACAGAGTCTCCCAAACTAGTATTTAGTAAAAACAGAGATGCTTAGAAACTCATCTTTGTATTGCCAAAGCCCAAATATTATGATTATGCGACAGAATAGATTTTTTAAAAAAGATTACTGAAAGTATTAAAATGTTGTTGTTGGCCATGGTATGTATTGCTATACTAACTAGTTTTATAGAAATCATTTTTGTATAAGATATAACCATTTTCCTTATTTGATTTGATTCTAGGTGGATCATTTGATTTGATGTCACGAAGAATAATTGCTGCAAGTAGTAAAACAATAGCAGAAAGAATAGCCAAAGAAATTCAGATAATACCTTTACAAAGAGACGATGAAGATTAACTGCAGCAACCACACATATTTGACCATAGTTGTTTCTCCCAAGATTTGCTGACATACTTGATAGTGTTAAAAAATTTAGACATTTGTTCAGATATATAATATGGTTGGTTTAAATTGTCTTTAATGTTCAGCCTAAGATATTGCAACTTCTAAGTTTTAATGAGACTAGATATGTAAGAATAGACGAAATGTTTATATCACTGTTTAAAAAATTGCATGTAAGAGTGTGCTTTGGGAAAAATACACGGGCAGTTCATGAGATAGGTGTCACATTAAATGAAATAATAGCAATTTAGAGTTTCTAAGTACATATGAACCTCTGAAATTTTGACTATTTGTGTACATAAGCATTTTAAATTAGAAAGCAAACTTTTTGAGAGAGGAAAAAAATTCTCTCAAGTTCCAAAAGCCATATTCAATTAAGTTTAAGACTATAATAAGTACTTCCTAAGCCAAGGGTTCTTTCTTTGTAGAGAGCCATATTTTGTTCATCTTTTTACAGGTAGCCCTTAGCACATTACCTGTCAAATATTAGACACTTCAAAAATAAGCATTGGAAAGAATATTTTGACGATAGCAATTCCTCCTTATAACAGATAATGAATTCACCATTCTGTATTTTTACTTTAAGTTTTAAAAATTATCTAGTTATCCTTTTTTCTATTTCACATTACCATGTCATTTCAATTACCATGCTGTCAGACTTTACTTATTTTCTGCAGTTAATATATTTTCTAAAACACTGCATTACAGTATTTGTTTGGATTTCTTTAAAGTTTCCATGTAAAAGAGAAGAAAAATTCATAAAAGCACTTTCATCAGATATCTGATATAATTAGATACAGCATAACATTTTACTAAGCTCAGTATTCATATTATGAAGATGTTTCTACTGATCTAATTGTACACAGATCCTGGCAAATATACTGTACTGTTAATATTGAACTTTCATTTCTTCCTAAACTCCTTATTTAACTTCACTGTCACTTTAAATGTTCTTTGATAGCCTTTGACTTATTAAACTCAAGAAAAATTGTTCTGGTTCATAGACATTTTTAAAATATTAATTTATTGCTTAGCCTTGTCTCTTGCCATGTGAACAGACTATCAAGTTTTGTTATGGTTTCATGGGAGCTTTGTATTTAATAAAATGAAAATGCTTCTACAAAGTTTTCAAGGTAAGTTATTTTATTGTTAAATCTAATATATTAAATATTCAAGTACTAAGATTTGATTATTGTAGATAATGAATTTGTACTGTTGGGCACATGCAGTAAAAACATCTCATACAATTTCTTCTGGTATTTGCCTCCATCTTTTAAAAGAATAGATACATTCTGCTACATCTTTATTGACTTAATTCATTGTTTCTTGTTATTAACTTGCTTTATGGAAGATGAGGATTTTTGTATTCTTAACTTACTTCATGAATTGCTTTTACTTTCCATTCTTCTAATACAGAGACACCAATTTTTGGTAGTTAAATTTATATTCATTGTTTAACTTATGACTTTTATTTACTGGTTAGCTAACTAGTAATATATTACATTTCTTTTACTGTGCAGCTTTTTGTTCTTCCTGAAATTAACAAATTTTCTACAAGATCTTTATTTTCTATTTTTTTAAACTATTCTCTTCTCTTAAACTATTTTCTTTTCCTACTGAAGATACTGGGACTCTTTTCCTTCCCTTCTATTTGGAACTGGTTACTGGCTAGATGTGCTGCATAGTAGTCCTGGAGGCTTCTCCTATGTCCATTCTTTTGTGTTCTGGATCTTTCAAGCTCTCCTTTTAGTAAAGCATCTCTCAGGTGTTTCCTATGAAAAGGTACTTGGATGACAAAATTTTGAGATCTCGCATGTCAGGAAACGTCTATTTCTTCATGCTTTGTTGGCAGTATGGTTAAGTGTAGAAATACCATTGAAAACCATTTTCCCTGAAAAATTTTGAAGCATCGCTGCACTCTCTTTTAGCTTTCAGTGTTGCTGATGAGAAGTCATTTCAGTTTTCAGTCCATTGATACTAATCTTCTCTCAAGGAGATTTTAGGATTTTCTATTTCTGGAATTTTCTGATTTCTCCATGATAAGCTTTGATTTGCCTTTTTAAAAAAAAAAATTAGGCTCATTATGACCTTTCATTCTGGAAAATCCTCAACTTGTCATCAGTGGTTTTTTTTTTCTTCTTCTTTCATAATTTCCTCTTTTCCTTATCCTCTGGATTTCCTTTGGAATTTCTATTATTCAGTTGTTGGACCATGTATATTCATCCTTTTACTTTCTCTAACATCTTTTTGCTTCTAAAGGATTTCTTTAACTATCTTCCAGTTCTTCTATCAACTCATTTAAAGTCTCAATAGAGTAATATAAAACATTTAGAACATCCAGTATTGCTTCTATCAGTACTCAAAGTGATACAGTTTTAGTGCTATCCCTATCAAGATCTCAGTGATGTTTTGGGGAGGAGGGAAGGTGGGTGGGTTACCAACTTAGATGAAAATATAGAGCCATCTTAAGCAAAGGAGTAGGTTAGAAGACTATATGACCAGATATCAAGACTTGCTATAGTGCTAATATTTTCATTAAAACAGTGTTAGGGCTAGTGATACTAGCCCAAGAAAAAACAGACCAATGGAATAGTGCCCAGAAATAGACTCAAACACATAGAACTGTCCAGTGTATGAAAATGGTGCCACTGAAATGCAGCATTGCAAAAATGGTCTTTTTAATAAATTATGTGGAATCATTTGGATATCCATATTTTTAAAAATGGAAAAAAGAATTTTGATCCCATCACACCATTTTAAAAAATCAGTTCCAGGTGAATCCAAAACCTAAATATGATAGCTAAAACAAAACTTCTAGAAAATAGCATGGACTCTCTTCCTGATCTTGTTAGACAAAGACATGGTAAACAGGGTACAAAAAAAAAGCACTAACAATAAAGATTCATTAGCTGGACTACATCAATATTAGGAACAGACTATGCCAGTGAGTTGGAGACCACAGTTTATGATACATCTGACAAGTTACTTCTAGAGTGTATAACTCCTACCTAGCAATAGAAGTAATCCAAATATAGACAAAACAGTTGAACACATATGCTACAAAATATATAAACTCTAAGTGAATGTAAAACTGCTCAATATCAGAAGTTAACCAAGAAATGCAAATTGTAACAATAATAATATGCCACCAGAACAGCTAAAGCAAAACAGAAACCCAGCACAAAAGCAAGCGAAATAAACCCCTGATAAATGCAAGGACTGATAAGATGGTGAAGCAGATGGCCGCTTATGTCACTCCATTGGTTTTGCTTTTTGAAGTCACAATTTACAGAAGCTAAATCTTTTCTGCCTTTAACTTATTTGACCATTCTTTCCCCTTTCAATTGTCCTCCGTTTTCAAATCATACTTTTAAAAGTCTGTCCATTTCTGTTTCTTTTGCTGACTTTTCTTCCTCTGTGCTGATACTGTCTCGTACATTGCTATCCTTGGTCTTCTCTCAAGTCATTCAGGAAACTTATGCATGCCCATGACTTCAGCTATCACTTCCATTCTGCTGACTCTTAAATCTCGACCTTGGGCAGGTATTTCCTTTCTGAGTTCTCAACCTGAATCTCCAGCTCCTTGCAAAACCTCCCTTTCTGAATGCCCTCTAAATTTATCAACTCAAACCATGTGTAACCAAGCTAATTCTCTGCGCAGTCTTTTTTTTTTTTTAAGATTATTTATTTATTTATGCAAACAATGGGTACAGTCAGAAGTGCAGGAGGGTGAGAGAATTCACCAGAGCCAGAGCAGGGAGCAGAACGGGCAGAAGGACCGAAGTACACTGCTGAGGGGAGCAGCGGGCGGCAGGAGAGGTCTGTGCGCCATGTGGTACCCTCCTCCGGTGGCGGGGGGAGCAGCCGGGGATCGAACCGGTGCCGTAGAGGCTGCAGGCAGCTTTGCAACCCAGCGCTCAACCCCTGCGCCACTGGGGAGGCCCTCTGCGCAGTCTTTTTCTGCTGTTCCCTTGAATGTATTCCCTTTCTGCCCATCTCCCTTCCTTCTCAAATGAGGACTTGTTTGATACTTCCTTTCCCCTATTTCTCCACATCCACTTTGCCATAGTCTAAGTTCTTCCTGATGATGACCCCACTTAATATTCCATTAAATATTCCAGATGGCATTCCTTCTGCCCAGAATGGTCCATAGTAATAGTAGATTGTTGGTTTTTTTTTTTTTTTTTAATAATTGGCAAAGATACTTCTAAGTCATGATTTCCCTTCCTTGGGATCTGCCCCAATCACACAGGACTGTGCCTGCTTTCACCATCTGTAGAAGATATGGCTCAGCCCACTGGTTAATTCAGAAAAGGGCAGCTGATTCAAGCGGACAAATGGTATCTGTTTGGGAACTGGGCATTTTGAACCCCATGATGGAGACTGAGGATAATGGGAATAACCTTCCCATTATGTAGCACTTGAGGTCAGCACTGGATAAGCATCACTTCTTGGAGTGGCCAGCCCTCAGGCTGAGCTGGACATCAGCAATCCCCTCTCACAAGACTGCCAGTTTAAGAGACACTTTGACACACTCAATATGTTCTCATTTCCAATATGCCATATATTGTAAGTTCATATCCCTTTGGTTGTTTATTCCCTTAAATCAAAATATTTTCCTGATTACTGTCATTAATATTTAGCATTTGTTGAACATAACATACAGTCATTATGTTTAGCACTTGACATTTGTGTTCATATTTAATCCTCATAATAACCCCAGGAGAGGTTATTACCATTTTACATAGGCACAAAGATGTTATTTAATTAGCCAATTTCCCTGCTCAAGGTGACACTACTAAGTGCAGTGATTCAGCTCGAGTCCACAGTCTAACCCACTAATTCCCCAATGGTCCTCTCCCTGGCTGCTTAGTAGACTCAACTGGGAAATTTTAAATGACATTGTTTGGGTCCCACCTGCATCTGATTTACTAGATTTGCAGTGTGGTCTGGCCATCTGTACTTTTTAAATTTTTTCAGGTGATTCCTTTGAGTAGCTAGCATTGATAACCATTTTGCTACATTGTATTGCTGCCCAGAAGTAACTCACCCATCTACCTCACAAACCTCAGTTTCAGGGATAGTATGTCTTTTTTTTGTTTTTTTTTTTTTTTTTGTGGGACTCTCGCCGGTGGCCGGGGATCAAACTGGCTGCAGAGGCTCTGGGCAGCCTCGCAACCCAGCACTCAACCGCTGCACCACCAGGGGAGGCCCAGGGATAATATGTCTTAAAAGTGAAACGTTGCTTTGAGTCATCCCTTTGTCACCTGGTGGGCCTGATTTGAAAATTATTTTACCAGCCTTTTTATTTCCACAAATTAACACTAGATGGCAAACTCCACATAGGGAATTATCTTTGTTAATGATTTTTTCATTTCTGAAGCATTTTAAATTTCCTTCAAATAACCTCAGTAGTTAATATTTAAGATTAATAATACAGTTTGAAAACAAGGGCAAGTTTTTCATAAATTGAACTCTTTATTGTATGCCAATTCATATTTCTTTAAGGAGAGGCATAAATATCCTGTATATATGCATGGCCTTGATTTTGGTTGTCTTCCAGTTTTAGCTTTAAAAGGGAGTTCATTAATCATGAACATATATAGAATGAAATATTTATCTTTTGTTATTTTTGAGCTACTTTTCCACCAGTATATTTCAATGTCCCTGTCAAATAATTGATCCATTAATAAAAATGTTTAACAAAGTCCTGCTTACCTTTTTGAGGAAACTTGTGGAATCTCCATTGCAAGGTAATGGTGACTGGATAGTAGTATATGCTCACGCTTCCCTTTGCTTAGGAACAGTGTTTGCTTGAAGAATGGAGATACAGAGAAAAGTATAGTAACATGATCGTTGACTGAGGATCTCACAACCAGCAAAGAATTTTCATTCCTGAGCTCAAAGTGGCCACAGGTGCTCCAGCCACCTCTGAGTTGGTGAAACCTGGCAACAAAGAGAGGATACATCTGTGGATCTTCTGGAGCTTTTCTAAGAAGCAATGTGGTTCTCCATTCTAAGTTTCTTCCACTACCTTAGGCTTTCAAGCGTTAAAGAATTAATATCCGTTATCTAACCTTAACATTTGATGAAAGATATGATCAGAGAGACTAAGAGATTCAGTTAATCGCAAATGCAAATAAAATCACCAGCCTAATGTCTTCACAATTCTCTTAAAATACAGTTAAAATTCCTAAATACGGATTAAAAGTACATTCAAGATCTGAGCCCCTTTTCTTATTCCCAGTCCCATATATGCTATGTAG